TCAGTACTGATCACAGTGCTTGCCATGTGCCAAGCATAATTTGGGGGGATGGAGGAAGAAAAATACAAAAATGTATAAAATAAATTATCTTCCTTTAAGGAATTTACAATCTAGCTAGGGAGACAAGACATAGACACATGAAAAGATCACTAAAGATCACAAAGCAGTCTGATCTGAGGTAGATATGTAGTGTGCGTAATATTATGCTATGAGTTAAGAGGGAGAGATCATCGCAGCTGGGAGAGAGGCCTCCAGCCCGCTTCCACCTGAATTATCTGGATAATTGACCTTGATGACAGACTCACTTGCTGACATTAACCTCTGGGGGTTTCTTGGCTGCACTGGCCCTGAACAGGACCCAGTCTTCCCCAAATGTCTCATAATGTTGAGCAATGATTATTACCATCACCTCAAAGAGCAAGGTCTGGCCAGCCTACTGATTTATCTGGCTGCTGAATTATTCAGCCTGACCCTATGACGCCATATGAATTCTGCCTTTGACACAGGTAAGGAAAGATGCCAAGAGGGATCAGCATGGGAAAAGTCTCCAGCATCCCCAGAGAGAGGGGAAATTGGGAGCATCAAAAATAGTGCTGGGGAGGGGGATGGCAAATAGGAGAAGGGATTGATTTGTCATATACAGTGAGGGAGAGTTAGCATTAAGATCTGAAAGCTTTCAGTGATCATTTCTTGCTGTTGGGGGTTTCCCAGGACCAAAGATTTCCTTTGGTCCCTGTGACAGTGTATGAAGACATAATTTTAAAAAATCATGGCTCCCTCCATCTTTTTTTCTCCTAGAAATTGTGTATTCTTTTTATCAGGTGAAATGGTCGGATGTCCCAGCCCTTTAGTTTTTCTTCCTCCCCTTCTTCTCCCAACCTCTGGGATGCCAGCCAAGCTCTCTTCATCTTCACAGCAGACAGGGATGCTAAGATCAGAACAGAGAGGGCAGTGGAGTCCACTGCATGTGAAGCAGGAGGGAGATCCCCTGAGTCAAAATAGTCAAACACTAGCCACCTTCAGTTATAGTCCTGCAGCTCAGGAGACCGAGCTTCATTCAGCACCAACACACAACATGAGTACATACCAACTCCTGAGTCCAGTGATCTGAGCTTGGCATAAACCCAGATTGTGAGCTACCTGTGCCTGGGAAGGGAAGTGAGACAGACAGGACCCAAATACACAAGAGGAGATTTGGGGCCTCTTGTGGATTTAGGAGTCAACTTTCCTCAGGAAAAGATCTCTCAGGAGATGCTCAGCTTGGGAGGATCTGGAAACTCAAGACTGGATTCCCAGCTTCTTGCAAGGAATAAAGCAGGAAGGTTCCGAGTCAGACCTTGCCCCTGATCTCGGGAAGATTTCGTGCTCAAACAAGCTATATCCCCCTGGCAAACAAGAATTCAAGGAAGAAACTATGTTCCTTCTGTCTAGACTTCCCCCACAGGGGGACACAATGAGCAAGATGAATGGAATCAACAGAAAGACCTCTTTCCTGGAGTAAATCATGTCTCATCCTGGGCAAGCAGCTGTGAAGAGCCCTAGGTAAAATCATGAAATAGGAAAAGCTTGTCTTCAGTGCCACTCCAGTCCCCTTAAGGTCCCTTTCTTTCTCTTCTCTTCCAGCCCCTACCTCTCTCCTCTCCTCTCCCTCCTCCTAAGCCCCCAGATCCCTATTCTAACTGCTGTAGATCCCCACAGTGGTATCCACCCCTCCCTTCAAGACCACTTACCCTGACCTTTCCCTCCCTTCTGCCAATCAAAACCTACCCATTCCTCCTATTTTCCCTCTTATCAGCCCATTCTCAACCGACAATATATTTGCTCTTAGTGAGGGTCTTACACATATGATGACTAATGAAAGGAATTCTAAACTCTAAATTGGTACCAGAAGGAGTGGGGAAGAGGAAATTATTCTGGCTTGAGGGGATTCTCATGTGGGCTTTTTGAAGGGTCTGCCATATTGGTGAAATGATGCAACATACATGCAGGGTGCTGCAGACATATAAATTGATTTATTTGATCCTCACAGCCCTACCACTTGCCACCTATGTGACCTTGGGTAAGTCCCTTCATCTGTCTGGGCCTCAATTCCCTCATCTACAAGCGGTAATTTGATTAGATAGCCTTTAAGGATCTGCCCATCTCCAAGTCTATGTTCTTATAATGCTAAATAGGCCTTGCAGATATTATTGTGCCCATTTTACAGAAACAAGCATAGTGTTTTGATGCCCTACCTCACACAATTTTTTTCTACAGTCAATTGACTCCCATAGGAGCAGAATAAATATTATCAGCACCTTTTCCATTCCATTCAATTCAACAAACATATTAAGCCACTTATTAGTGATTGTGGCCCATTTCTCTGTGCCTCAGTTTCCTCAGCTGTAAAATGAGGGGGTTGAACTTGATGGCCTTTATGATCCCTTCTAGTTCTAAATCATAATTGCACTTAACTCACACAGTTGTTTTGAGGACCAAACTAAATAATATAAACTGTTTTGCAAACCTTAAAGCACTATACAATAATAAGCAATTTTTACCACTACTACTACTATGACCATAATGATGATGATGACAATGATGATGACGACTACTACCACTACTACTACTACTACTACTACCACCACCACCACCACCACCACCACCACCACCACTACTACTACTACTACTACTACTACCACTACTAGTATTAAGTAATTATGTGCAAAAGACTGTCCTTGACATTGAGGCGATACAAAGATACTCTCAAGGACTAGTAGGGAAAAGAAAAAAAATAGACACCTAAATTAAATAGGACTGAAATGTAACTGAATTAATGACTGAAATCCGGATTGTGAGTTCAGAAGAAGGAGAGATCACATCTGTCTTCTGGAAGAAGGTCATGGAAGACTTTCTGGAGACAATATGGTACAGACGGGGGAAAGCACTGGCCTTGGAGGAATACAGATCTTAATGCCAGCACCTCTAGCCATGTCAGCTTTGGTCACTTCATTTTTATAAGTATCAGTTTCTTCATCTATAAAATAGGGATAATTATATCTATATTGTATTATTAATAAAACCTATACCTTACAGGATTGTTAAAGGATCAAATAAGAATATATATATATATATATATATATATATATATATATATATATATATATATATGAATATCAGTTATTATTATGGAGGAAAAGTCTGCACTGGACCTTGAAGGACAATAAATACTTCAACAAATAAATATGGAGAAGGGCAATACTGGTGGGAGACAAAATGAGCAAAGGTACAGAAGAAGGAAAAGCCAGGAGTTTGGGGAACCAGTGGCTAGCCTAGCTCGGCTAAAAACAAAGCAGCCAAGCTTTGCTCTGAGACTACTAAGGTAGAGACTATTAAGGGAGCCAGACTGTGTGAATCTGTATGAATAGCCTTGAATACTAGGCTAGAAGTAAGGGCCTTAGTAATGAGAGTGGATCAGGGTTTTAAACAGGAGAGTGCTGATTGACACATTTTTTAAAATATGGCCATTGAGGGAGTTTTATTGCTCAGTTATATGTATTTGTAACAGAGGGGTCGTTTTTTTTTTCTTGCTTTCTCAGTGAGGGAGGGAAGAGAAAAGGAGAGGGAAAGAAGGAAAACTTTGATTTTAAAAAATTTTAATTCAAAAATCAGAAAAAATACACCACCACCACCACCATTACCCCTCAAAAAATAGATTATGTGGAACCTGTGCGGAAAATAGATCAGAAAGAAGACTGGAGGCAGGGAAATCAGTTAGAAGACTATTTCAGGAGCACAGTTAAGAATCACAGAACCAGCAAATTTGAGGGCTTTGGTGGCCATCTCATCCAATCCATACAAAAACAATGAATCCTCACTATAATATACCCAACAAGTGATCATCCATCACCCCCAAAGTAGCCCATTCTACTTTGGGCCAGCTCTAATTGTTAAGCAAATTTTCCTAACATCAAGGCTAAATTTGCCCCTGTGTGATTTTTATCCATTGTTCCTGCTTCTGCCTAGTGGGGGCCAAACAAAGCAAGCCTAATTTCTCATCCACACACCAGTCTTTCAAACATTTGAAGACAGCTATCATGTACCCCCTGAATCTTCTTTTCTTCAAGTTACACATGCCAAGTTCCTTTGTTTGGTTTTCATATGTCATGGACTCAATGCCTTTTTCCATCCTTGTTATCTTTTCTCTTGGAACTCTCCAGTTTATCAATGCATTTCTTAAACCATGGTGCCTAAAACTAAATATAGTACTCCAGATGACATCTGACAAGGGACAGAGTATGATGGTGCTATCACTACCTATTCCTGGGAATTATGTCTTTTCTAATGAAGCCTAAAAACCACCTGAGCTTTTTTGACTGGCATCATACTGTGGATTCATATTGATCTTGAAGTCTACTAGTACCTCCAGATCTTTTTTAGAACAACTTCCATCTATCCATGCCTCCTCTGTCTTATATTGTAAATTTTTTTCATGCCCAATGTTGTAGCCTGTCAAGATCCTTTTAGATCCTGACTCTGTCATCCACTGTGTTCGCTCTCCTTTCCAGATCTGTGTCCTCTTCAAAATTAGATGAGCATACCACCCATCCAAGTCATTGATAAAAATGTTAAAGATCACAGGATCAACCAAGTACAAAGTGAATGAATAGGGTGGAAGCAGTAGGAGTGCAAGTGAGGTGATATGAGAGATATTTTGGAGATAAAGTCAACAGGACTTGGTAACTGATTGGATGTGGGGTTCCAGGGGGAGGAAGAAATCAAAAGTCTGAGATTGAGCCTGAACGACTAAAAATTGAAATCTACTCACCCTGGTAGAGCAGCTAAGACTTAGCTCCTGCTAAGCCTGATTCAGGACATCCCACTTCTAAGCTCTGCATCCCAGTGTATGTTAAATGTTGTCTATAACAGCTAGACAGAGGTGGCTTTTCCAAGACTGAATCAAAGCGTTCAATACCAGCACATATGTTTTTACAAATAATTTGGTGGAACAGCCAACTCACCTTCAAATTCAGTTGTGGAAGGCAAAAAGGAAGGATACCACTCGTTCCGAATTCTCCCCCAAGCAGTCTGCAAAAGAGTTCAACAGGGTCTCAAGACAATCTGGATGGCATCTGACATTTCCAAGAGCTGTCAAAAGCAGGAGAGCACACAGGCTTTATTAATCCCAGCAAAGGGCAGCAGGATGATGCGGCAGCTTTGCCTCTCTGCCTGGCTTTCCCTTCATCTTCCGACACTCTTCAGGCTTCATTATCATTAATGCCCGCAAATTTTACAACTAGCAAAATAACAGGCTAGTTTACAAGTATCTTGGATAGAGGTGACCTTGGTGGGTTACTTCTCGGCAACCTTCTATATGTGTTTTCCTTGGATAGAGTATTAGATTAAGATCCAGGAAAGCCTAGGTTCAAATTCATACTTAGAGACATACTAGTTGTGTGACCCTGGGCAAGTTATTTAACCTCTCCTAGCCTCAATTTCCTCATATGTAAAATAGAGATGGTAATAACATCTACTTCACAGAGTTGTTGTGAGGATCAAATTACCTTTAAAGTGTTTTGTGGAGAGCAATTTGGAACTACGCCCAAAGGGCTATAATACATGCATACCCTTTGACCCAGCAATAGCACTTCTAAGGCTGTATCCCAAAGAGACCATAAAAATGGGAAAAGGATCTACATGTACAAAAATACTTATAGCAGCTCTTTCTGTGGTGGCAAAGAATTGGAAATTGAGGGGATGCCCATCAGCTGGGAAATGGCTGAACAAGTTGCGGTATGTTAATATAATGGAATACTATTGTGCTATAAGAAATGATGAGCAGTGAACTTCAGAAAAACCTAGAAAGACTTACATGGACTAATGCTGAGTGAAGTGAGCAGAACCAGGAGAATGGTGTACACAGTAACAGCCACTTTGTGCAATAATTAGCTTTGATAAACTTAGCTCTTCTCAGCAATGCAAAGATCTAAGACAGCTCCAAAAGTCTCATGATGGCAAATACTATCCACATTCAGAGAAAGAACTATGGAGTTTGAATGCAGATCAAAGCATACTATTTGCTCTTTCTTTTCTTCTGTTTTGTTTTGTTTCTTCTTTCTTGTGGTTCTTCCTATTGGCTCTAATTCTTCTTTATAACATAACTAATGTGAAAATATGCTTAATCAGAATGCATATGTAGAACCTATATCAGATAGCACGCTGTCCTTGAGGAGAGAGGTGGGAAAGGAGGGAGAAAAAATTAAAACTCTAAAGCTTATGGAAGTGATTATTGAAAACTAAAAATAATTAATTAAAAAATAAAGTGCTTTGCAACCTGTGAATTGCTATTTAAATGCATAAATGGGAAGATAGGTGGCATAGCAGATAAAGTGCCAGGCCTGAAGTCAGGAAGATTCATGTTCCTGAGTTAAAATCTTGCCTCAGAACTTACTAGCTATTTGTTCAACCCTGTTTACATCAGTTTTCTCATCTGGAAAATGAGCTGGAGCAGGAAATGACAAAGCATTCCATATCTCTTTCAAGAAAACACCAAATTAAATCACCAAGAGTCAGACATGACTGAAAATGACTGAAAATAAATGCTAGCTGCTGTCACTGATGATTTTGATGATCATCATGATGATGGCAATGATGATGGTAGAAATTTCTTCCCTATTTCGTCCCATCAACTTTAGAGAGTCACCAACTTAACTGGGCCCTGCCACCCTACTCATGTTTAGAGCTACACTCTTTATAGCAAGGGGATGCCAGAGTTGCATCAAACAAATGAACTCTTTGCTCACCATTCTTGCTCTAGGAAACTTCTCTGCACCCTTAAGTCTAAGACCCTTCCCCTCCATCCCAGTCCCTCCAGTTTCCATTTTTCTCCCTTCTCATTTCTACCTACCCCTTCTTTCTATTCCTGCCATGGATCCCAGACTAGGCCAATGCCCGCTGGATGCCCCCAGCATTTTCTAGCCCATTGTTCCCCCGCGGCTGCAATGGAGACCATCTAGGGTGGAAAAATTGAACAAAGTGATCCATAAACCAGCTGTGTCCCAATTACTGTCGGTTTGGATAGAGTCACAGTCAGTTCAGCCACATGGTAAATTAAAGGGTCCAAGGACCACCTGGAGGCTGCAGCAGTGTGCTTGGAAGGGAGCAACTTGTCCTCTGAGAAACTCATCCAAGCCACACAGGGATACCTCATGTGAGCCAAACAAGGGAACATCGACATAGCAGTTCCAGAACAAAAAGAAATTAGGCTGAGTCTAAAAGCAATCAGGTCATGGGTTGTAAGGCACTCCTTACCCTGATTCATTCTGACATTAGGCTGCAGATTCTGTTATTTGGATACTTCATCCCAGGGGGTAGAGTCATCAGGGGATTGATTTTTTTAATCTGTTTGTTCAGCTGATGAATACAATGTAAATGGAGCTATAACTTGTCACCCTTTGAAACCCAAAATGCTGTCAGTGCCATTGCTATTACCATTGTAACAGTTATGCCCTGGTGAATAAGGGACACATGACATGTGTGGATGCCATCTCCAGACTTGTGCCACAGGGGCTATCATTTCTACCCAAGTATTATGTCTGCAATTTAGGTAAGCTGCCATTCGGTGAAGGACTACCAAAACTACCTAATACAACAACGACAATAATAATACCTTATGTTTGCATAGCAGAGGCAGAGTGGTATAGTGTGAATAGAAAGTCAGCCTCAGAGTCAGGGAGACTAGGGTTTGAGTGGTAATTCTGACACATACTATCATCTTTTAACACCTTTTAACAGGCAACACTCTAAGGCAATAAATTGTAAAGCAGGTTCCATTCTGCATTGGTAGAGGGAATTCTTCCACTGGAGTTCCCTATACCAATGAAATCATGAGACCAGTCCCCCAAAAAATGTTTGTATAGCACTTTCCAGTTTTCAAAGTGATTTTGCCTGTCTTATTTGACCTTCACAAAATCCCTTTAAGGTAGATGGAGAAGGCATCATTATCTTCATTTTACAGATAAGAAAACTGAGGTTTTAAAGGGTTAAAGGACTTGCTCAAGGTCACAAAGAAAGTAATTTCACTGGTGGGGCTCAAACCCAGGTCTTCTGACTCAGAGTCCACTATTTTATTCGTACTATTTTGCATACCTCTCTTATGGCTTTCTATTTCAAATAGCTAGGCTTTACACAGATCTAGTTAACTATGTCAAAAATTGTGGTATCCTTTTTTGACTCATTTATTATTGCTATATCTAAAATAGGACCTTTTTTTTTTACTAAAATGACTAAGCATAAACAGCAAAGAAAATTATGTGTAGCTATATATTTTAATGCACAAATTAAAAAAAATCAATCAACAACAAGCATTTTAAGTGTCTACTATGAGTGCCTCTTGGCATAGGAGACAGAATGAACAAAGATAGAGAATTATAGTACAAAGCAATCTTTAAAGATATTGAATGTTTGCTTGCCTAACGTCCTCTATGACACTGTAAGCTCCTCAAGGGAAGAGACTAGAACTTATTCATCTTTGTATCTCTAAAGTCTAGCATAGCATCTTATCCCTAAGACAGTGACAGACAAATATTTGTAGAATGATACACAAATACACAAGATAGAGAAAATTAGAGAGGGGAAAGATCACTGGTTTCAGAGTCAGAGGACCTGATTTTAAATCCTGTCTGTTACTAGCCTGAGATCCTTGGGCAAACCACTTGGCTTCCCTGTATCTTAATTTCTTCATCTATAAAAATGAAAGGGTTAAATTACAAGGCCCCTGAAGACTCTTTCAATTCTAGACATATGAGCCTATGAAGGATAGAAGCCATCAGGATGATGGCATAAATGACTAAGAATGAGGCATAAATGACTAAGAAACCATGAAGATGAAGCATGTTCCACTTTAGATACAAAACTTTGCCAGGATCCTGGACAGCTGTGAGTAATGCGTGTTCATACAGTAAAGAAGTAGAAAAGTGTTGGGTTGTGACCTGGTAATCAGATAAGCAGGCAGGAGACCAAGAGAACAGTCAACTGGAAGGTAAGAGAAAAACAGACCTATTAGGCAAGCTGGATTCTGTTATTATTCCCTTTTTCAGTCATATCTAATTCTTCATGACCCCATTTGGGATTTTCTTGGCAAAGATACTAGAATGGTTTGTCATGTCCTTCTCCAGCTTATTTTATAGATAAGGAAACTGAGGCAAACAGGGTCAAATGACTTGCCCAGGGTACACAGCTAGTAAGTGTTTGAGCCCATATTTGAGCTCAAGAAGATGAGTCATCTTGACTCTGCCAAGTTGTCCTTAAGCCGGAATTAGAGCAGGTTTAAAGACCAGATATCAGGTCAGTCATAAGTCAAGAATCACATAAGCAAAAAGCTAAGATCCCAGGAGAAGACAGGATTAGTATAGTTTACTAGCAAGTCAGTGTAGATCAGCAGAAATAATTCTGGTTTGGGGTCAGAGCACCTGATTTAAAATCCTATTTAATGACAGTTACTACCTGTATGACCTTGGGCAATTCACTTATTCCCTCTAGATCTCAGTTATTTCATGTATCGCATGAGAGCACTGAACTGATCATCTCCAAGAACTCTTCCAGCTCTAAATCCTATGGACTTAAACTTTAAATCAAGATGATTAGTCAAAAGTCTGAGCAAACTCTGAGTTAAACAACAACAACAGGAAATTTACAGATATTACAATGCAAGGCAAGGCAGGAAACAGATCTAAGCTAACCAAATAGTCTTTTATTCTGAAGCAAGTTTCTAGCTCATCTATGGGCTTTTTAAAGACAGTTATAAGATCAAATAATCATAGACCTAGATCTAGAAAGGTCATCTAGTCCAAGCGTCTGTCTTCTTTTACAGATAGCGGAACCAAGGACAATGGCTTGACATTTCCCTAGTTAAGAGGATGTTTTAATCTACCAGATCATATTTCTCCTATTGTACTTTGCCATGGAATCTTGTCCTTTTCCTAAAGTGCATATTTAAGGCTTAATCATTAAAAATGTCCATTAATAACTCTGAAGCTTCCCTGCAATGTTTTATAGCCTATCTTCTAACAACAACAACCCTCCTTCTA